CATCCCTGCAGCGAGACTATCCCTGGCAATAGTGGCCCTGCTACATCACTCTCTTCCACACTGGCCATAACACCCACCATTACCATACTAAACACCGCAGGCCTTCAGTCTGGGCAAGGGAATCGCAGTATAAGCATAAGCTTAAGGATCACCCCATCATAGGAGCCAAAGTGTCACGGGTGCAAAACCTCCCCATTTGCAGAATCTGCCGCCAGAAAACCCAAGGACATAAAAAAAAAAAAAAAAAAAATCCCCATCAACAGGTCTCAAAAACAGTTTTGAGCAGATACAAGCTTTACCTCGATGGTTGACCAGCTTGGGGAGGTTTAAAAGGGTTTTCCATTGCAGAGCAGGACCTGGTGTGGTACCCCATATGGGTTTGCAGGACAATCGACTTTTAGAATGATAAAGACATTCAACTTTTATCTTTTTGTACTCTTTTAAAATACCACTGATTGCAGTTGTTGTTGTTTTTTCCTGTAGTCTTTTACAATACAATTAGTTAGAATCAAGTTCACTGATTGATTATACTGCTGTCTTTGTGTTTTACTGTTTCATCCATTTTAATAAAGTGTTTTGCATTACAGTAACAGTGAGGTTGGGCCCCCCTTTGTTTTACAAGAAAAATGTTTTGTTTTCAAAACTCCACTGATATTTGGTAAACAATCAAACAAAAACAATTAAACTGTAATACATTATAGGTAGTAATGAAATATACTACTAACTCGTTTATGCTACGTCCACACCTACAAACGCAGCTGTTTCTATGCGTTTGGGCCTTTCGTCCACATGTAAACAGCCTTTCGAATCACCGAAAACTGAGATTTTTTTTTTTTTTAAACTTCTTTTTTGTGTGGACGAGGAATACAGAGGTCGTCTCGTTATGGAGCGTCAAAGGTATGTGCCTTTTTTCACATCACGCTGTGCGCCACTTTATAGTTTACATAAGCTGAATTGCAGAATGGCAGATAAAGACAAAATATTGTTGATCTGACTATCTCCAGTTTTTACGCACATACATATACACACACGTTACTGTCCCTACATTTAGAAAGGCAGAGGTGTCACGAAGTAATTACATGTTCTTGTTTTTTCCTGTGTAATAATATTCAACATTGCTATCAATACATTTTTTCAAAAAAAATGCCTCTCTGGGTTCAAAAACATAAACAAATGTGGGATACTGTTTGTCCGTGATTTGAAACGGGGAAACAAATCGTGGCAGGATCAGCCTGATGTTTTTTGGATCTGTTGCGAAATCAGTTTCACCCCGGTTCTTTTTATTCCTTGGGCATCCAGAGACGGTCATTTTCACAAAAACCTTTATTCATCTTTATTCATCTTTATTTCAGCATGCATCTTCTAGGAGGGGAGACGTGCAAGGCCGGTGTCCCTCTGCAAATCTTCCACTCCTTTGTTTGTTACAGTCAGCTTTATAGAAATGACCCCATCATAAAACCTCCATGGTGTGTTGCAAACT